CCAATTGCTCCTAAAAGTTCATAAAAATTCAATAGCAACACTACATTTCTGTATTATCTATCTTTCACTAGACCATCATTTGTACGATACTCATCTTGTTCGAGAAATCATTTCTAAAAATAAATTTATGCGTGAAAACACGTCACATACCAAACATTTCTGTTGAGAGTATGTGTGTGCGTGCGCTTGTTTGGAATTTGTGCTTAATGTGTATAGTTTCATTGTATCTCTAACAATTAGCAAGTTTATTGATATATTTGTCCGCATATTTATACCCTACACCACATAGTGGTAAGGGTATTATGTCTTTGTGCATTTGTTTGTAACATAGAGAAGGAAACGAGATAGACCCATAGTTACTTTTGAGAACCTTCATAGAATCACTTTCTGAGTCCATTTATGCATGTCAGTCCGTCTGTCCGTCCGTCCGTCCGTCCGTCTGTCCATGTATTCTTGTGAACAAAATGCAGGTCGCATTTATTATCCGATTGAGATGAAATTTTCCAAACAATATTTTTTTGGCCCGAGGACGAACCCTATTGAAATTGGTGAGAATCGGATCAAATTTAGATATAGCTCCCATATATATCTTCATCCGATTTCGGGTTAAATGTGCACCAAATGTCCACTATCAGTCCAAATTACCTGAATTTTGGCACACCCAACCGAGTTCGGCCTAGAAGCAAGTATATTAAATTTGGAGAAAATCGGTTCAGATATAGCTATAGCTCCCATATATATCTATCATCCGATTTGGTGTTTAAGCCTCTCACATTCGTAATATGCACTCCACAAGAATGATATTTGGTACCAGATATAAGATGGAGCACAGGAATAGCTGTTTTAAATTTTATCGAAATCGGTTCAGATTTGGATACAGCTCCCATATATATCTTCATCCGATTTCGGGTTAATTGACCGCCAAATGGCCAATATCAGCCCAAATGACCCGAATTTTGGCACATGTGACCGAGATTAGCCTTAAAGCTAATACAACAAATTTGGAGAAAATCGGTTCAGAAACAGCTATAGCTCCCATATATATATTCATCCGATTTCGGGTTAAATGTGCACCAAATGTCCACTATCAGTCCAAATTACCTGCATTTTGGCACACCCAACCGAGTTCGGCCTAGAAGCAAGTGTATCAAATTTGGAGAAAATCGGTTCAGATGTAGCTATAGCTCCCATATATATCTTTAATCCGATTTGATCTTTAAGTCCCTCACATTCCTACTATGCACTCCACAACCGTGATATTTGGTACCAGGTATTAGATGGAGCACAGAAATAGCTGTTTTAAATTTTATCGAAATCGGTTCAGATTTGGATATAGCTCCCATATATATCTTCATCCGATTTCGGGTTAATTGACAACCAAATGGCCAATGTCAGCCCAAATGACCCGAATTTTGGCACATGTGACCGAGATTAGCCTTAAAGCTAATACAACAAATTTGGAGAAAATCGGTTCAGAAACAGCTATAGCTCCCATATATATCTTCATCCGATTTCGGGTTAAATGTGCAGCAAATGTCCTCTATCAGTCCAAATTACCTGAATTTTGGCACACCCAACCGAGTTCGGCCTAGAAGCAAGTGTATCTAATTTGAAGAAAATCGGTTCAGATATAGCTATAGCTCCCATATATATCTTTCATCCGATTTGGTGTTTAAGCCTCTCACATTCGTAATATGCACTCCACAAGAATGATATTTGGTACCAGATATAAGATATAAGAGCACAGGAATAGCTGTTTTAAATTTTATCGAAATCGGTTCAGATTTGGATATAGCTCTCATATATATCTTCATCCGATTTCGGGTTAAATGTGCACTAAATGGTCAATATCAGCCCAAATCATCAGTCAGTCATCAGCTAATACGTAAAATTTGGAGAAACCCGGTTCAGAGATAGCTATAGTTCGTAAAATGCACCATAGAATTAGATAGATTTTGATTTTGTACCAAATATCTCATAGAGCTCTGAAATGCCCTGTATTAACCTTTTTACGAGAGCTCTACTAAATATGCATAGTGGTGTAGGGTATCATATAGTCGGCCCCGCCCGACTTTTGAGCTTTCCTTACTGGTTTTAGTTTGTTGTCGTAGAGCCAGCCTTTCGTTTTTCAACATCAAACATTTGTTTGTTTGTTTACAATTTTGTTTTGTTGACGTAAAAGTCGCCCAGTTGTCATTTGTATCAGTTATGTTTAAATAGGTAAACTGGATTCCAAAAGATATTTTTATCGATCTGTGTCTACAAACATAAATGCCTGATATGAGTAAGCGATTAAATATTTAAAAAATAGTTTTCTTTTCAAATAAGTAGTTTGAGGATGTTGTTGAAGAAATGGAAGGGGCTTATTTTTATTTGAGATGGTATAAACAACAACTGAGTTTAAAACCACTTGAAAAAGACTACATACATATATATGTAGGGGTTACAAATCACCCTGTGAAAATTGTATTTAAAAAGATCAGGGTTCGAATTATCACATTTAATATTGAATAAATTATGATTTTTTAAGTATAGCTTTATAAAAAAAATTAATTCAATTTTTTACACAACAATCACAGCAATTTGGTCTAAAATAATTAAAATTCCGATATATTTTCGTATTTATTGCCTTCATAATGTCTTACCTTGTTTAATGCCAGAAAAAGGTTTGTTTTCATTGACGTAAAGCAATAATTGTGCATGAGATAATCAAAGGTTTGTTTTGTTCGGGATATTCTACACATTAGCGTTTGCAGTCACGTGCATTACATTTTTATTTAAAGTCAATGACTTTGCAATATATATTTTCTCATAGATATGTATGTGGCACAACCAGAGAAAGTTTAATTGCGAATAATAACAGGATAATGCAACTCAAAAGTGGAGTTTTAGTCTGTGAAATAGACTTTTAAAGTATGCGGCTATTTGTTCCTGAATGAAAGAATACGAAGAAAGAATCATCCAATTTGGCAAACCCTAATGCTTTTATCAAGTACCTCCCCAAAAGGGTGAACATTTTCAATACTTATAACTCTTAAAAAATGTGTAATAAGAGTCCGATTTTCTTCAAGTTTCACACATATCAATATTTTTACCAGCAGTCTTGTATAGAGAGTGAATGGAACGAACCACTCCTTCTGGTACCAGAGATCTGATTTCAATATGGAATTCCTTTTCTACATGTCAATATTATATACATATATCTGGTACCTCACGCACATTCAAACAATTTTAAAAAATTATCACATATCTCAGTAGTAGTTGATATAGTCGAAATCTGGCACATTGTAATATTTACATGTGCCAGATATATTTTAAGGTATCGCAATATAGGTGATATAAGAAATAGTGACTCTATTCTAGCAGTCTTCTGCCACATAAAACAGAAACCATTAAAAACTCCACACACCGAATTTTAAAGAATTCCGCAGAAAAATGTGGCTAAAATTATCAGAATACATACCAGATATAGGGTGGTGCCGAAATATAGTGGCTATAGGAAAACGTCAACCTCTATAGACAATAATGTGCCACAGGAAGTACAATCCTTAAAGAACCCTACAAAAATTGTCTAAAATCGTCAGAATTCCGAATATCGGGAAGTAATGTTATGTGGGGGCAATATAAAAATGAGGACGTATATATAATGGGTTCACAGGATGTAAATCCCACCACAAACTCCTTTTACTTCAATCGTTCGTATTTATGAAAAAATTTTACAAAAGAAAATAAATTCGAATTTTTTTGTAATTGAGAAAAATTTTTAGTAAAACAAAAGAAGCAACATAATGCGAAAAGACGAAAGAGCAAGATGAATTGAAGGTTCTTTGTGAGTAATGAGAACTAGGTGAACGAATAGCTCCATTCACCTATTTCGTTTCGGAACGACACTTCATCATATCGTAAATATTAAAAAAAAATTATATGTATCTGGAACAAATCTGTATCCTTGGTGCTAAGAGATAAAGAACTTTTGTCTGTAAAAAAATTGGAAAAAATCATTCTAATTAGGCGTGGAACACTTTCCCAGAGGAAATATGTGTATCACAAAATAGAAACGCAGCGCAATTGTTTTTCAAAAAAAAAAAAAAAAAAATGTTCACCTAATTCCCAATTCAATATCCAGTGGCTGTGTTTGCAATAATTTTGCATGTTTTTGTGATGATCAAACATTTTCACTCAATTCGGTCATTCGCAAACATATTACGATAATGATGACGACAATGGTGCCCCAGTGCTTTGATTATCTACGACTGAATGTTTGTGCAAATGTTTGCTTGTGCTTGGTGCTGCTATGGGGGTTCGCTTTCGGTTAGGTGTCGGTATCGGGGTGTCGTCAATATTTTGTTTGTTTACATTTTCTTTTTAATGCCGTTATTCGTTTGTTGTTATGCTGTTTGCCTTTGCGGCGTAGCTCCCCAGCTAGCATTTGGAAGATTGTGTTTGAAAAAATCACTTCGGTGAGTCTATTTCGAGTCCTTTTGGTGATCAAAAAATGATTAACTCACGTATACGATCGAAAAGCGACTCGAAAATGACTCTCTTTAATGAGTAAAAAGAGGTCAACCAAAATACAACAACAAAATGTAGGGGAATCGCAAATCAATCATTGAGATGTGCAAAATGTGACTATTTTTTCCGTTATTTATTATCATATTGCGATCATGTACAGATTGAAAAATTATTAGTCTTAAAAAGATCATGCAGTTGTTTGAAAAGTGATTATACCCAGCTTGTACATGAAAATTGTTTTTAAAAAAATCACTTCGCAGAATCTTCTACGAGTCCTTTTGGTGATCAAAAAATGATTAACTCACCTGTACGATCACAAAACGACTCGAAAGTAACCCCCCTTAATGAGTAAAAAGAGTTCATTTAATTTTATAAAAAAAATGTATGGTAATCAAAAATCATGTGTATGGTAATCATTGAGATGTGCAAAATGTGACTATTTTTTCCGTTATTTATTATCATATTGCGATCATGTACAGATTGAAAAATGATTAGTCTTAAAAACATCATGCAGCTGTTTGAAAAGTGATCGTATTGATGTATTTTTTATCATATTTCGCACAGACAAGTGCTTAAATGCTGCTTGTTTTTCTATGCATAACGGGTCATTTTGTTGCGTTTCTGGAGTGGCTATAAAAAAGTTGACTTATTGGTCATTTATAAAAAGTGCGTGGAAGCGTCAACAGCAAAAGTGTTAAATATTAAAAAAGTGATAAAAAATATTAAAAAGTGTACGTTTATCTATTTGTTTGTTTATTTATTTATTGTTTTTATAAAGAAAAAATGTCAGCAAGCCAATTTAAAAAAAAAGGCTAAAATATAAAGGATGGCAAAAAATGAATTGGTGCAGCAAAATGAAACGATACTTAAACAATTTGTAAGTATACAAAATTGGGTCTTTGATTGATTAATTCACTACTTTGCAATATATTAATACTTATATATTTTTTGATAATCTGTTTCCAGAAAGAATTTATTGCAAAAACCGGCGGTGAAGGACCCCCTCAATTCCTTCGGGCTGCCGTTCGAAAGATTTTTTCTGACAATTTAGCCTGCCAATACAGCTGGAAGGGCACCAGTGTAAAGCCAAGTGCAGAAAAGTGTTATTTAGTGCCAGTAATCAAAAGTAAGTTTGTGTTTTTAACACGTATATAAAGAATTAGTAAAATGGACAGACTTGTACATATTTAATTTCAGATATTTGTCATCTAAAATACACAAGTAACGACAAGGATATGAACACAATCCTTCAGAAACATTTTGTTCACGCTCGAGACCGGGTTACAAAAAGAAAACGATCAGATTGAAGTTCCTGATTTTTTTATTTTTTTGGTTTTTCTTTTTTTATTTAATTTTTTACTATATTTTTTACCACTGGCATTTACTAAAATACACCTGAAAATGAACTAGTACAAATTATAATTATAAAAGTTGAATTATTTTTATTTTAAATAAACTATTTTATAAACAAATATAAACAAATTCTTTTTTTCACGGCACATCCCAATATTTAGAAATCACGTACGAGATTCGTAGGATCGTAAACACTCATATAGGACTCATAAATGACTCGAATTTAAGACAAAGGCGACTTAAAAAAGACTCGTAAATGAATATAAATATGAGTGACATATGACACTTAAAAGACTAATAAATGACTCACTAAGGACTCATAAATGATCAAAAAATGAGTTAAAAAAGACTCGAAAAATAAAATAGCACAATAAATGATTAAAAAACGATTCGAAAACGACTCGTAGAACGATCAGAAAATAGTCGAAAAAGACTCTTAACTAATCTAGAAGAAGACTCATATGTGATTTATTAAGAAGAGTCGCGGGAGGTCACGTTTTTCTCCCGACAAATGTGTCTTTTATGATCAGAAAATGCGCGCATATTCCACATTTTTAATCGCGCGACCGGATCAAAAAAGACTCGAATGTGATTAAAAATTTCAAAAAATGCTGACTGGGTCCCCCTGACTGGTTTTATTTTTTTTGGGGTTTTGGTTTTCTTTTTAGTTGCTTTTTTTAGTGTTTTGCTCTCGCACGTGCTTCGTAACAAACAAAGTCGATTTTTTGTTTGTCGATATTAGTCATTTTTGTTGTTGTCTGCTTTTATTGAAGGTAGGAAGTATGAACAAACAAAAATTAATCAAACGAAAAGAAAAAAAGCAATTAACAAAGAATCTGAACTGATTTCAAGTTCAGGGTCATGATTGTGTTTCACATTGTGTTCTTTGTTTTTGGAATTGTAAAGTGTTTGTTTTTCTTTTTCTGTTTTGATTGTCAAATGCCGGTCGTAGAGACTAACCAAAGCTTTGCCCGTATATGTCAATATTTAAATTAGATCTTAAGCTTGTAATTGCATTTATTTTTTAAATTTAATTTAATTATTAGAATTCGCATTTTTTAGAAGGTAATTATGAGAGTAATCCTACTGGTTGACTTACCTTCCAGCCCGCACTACTAGTCGAATCACCCTTATCCTTAAAATATGGAACATTGTGCACCATCCATTCATAAATTTGACTCAAAGTCAAACGTTTTTCACTTGCCGAGCCAATGGCGTGTGTTATTAGATCAGCATAGGAGAGATTACCCCAGGCATTACGACGTGATGAATTCTTTTTGGCGGCATTCACGCTAGGAACATTGGTTTGTTGTGAGTCTGCAAAAAGGGAAGAATGAAAAATATTAGAAAAAATGTAAGAATTAAGAATTTGTGTGTCATAAAGAAATAGGAATATTCTGACACCGCAGCGTGATATAAGACGAAAAATAAGAAGACACTTTTCCCGGCTTTTGTTGCCAACATTTAAAACTTTGGAGTCAAAAAAGATGATTGCCAGTCTCATATCTTCCGAACCCGTTAAGAATTCTGATTTGCCCTCGGAGCTTTTTCTTGACATAGAGAAAAAAATCGCTGAAACATAAACTCCATAGAACTTCATCTTCAGGCTTTGATCTTTGCGGAAGAAGTACTTCGTCAGCGAATGGTCCAGCGTAAAGCTTTAGATTCGTTCCAGTAGTTCGTCTTAGGAATTGTTAGTACTCAAAATGCACAATTTGTTTAGTTTGACAACATTTTTCAATTAAAACTTTATTTATCGTACAAAATCTTCAGACTTTCTAGATTTTATATATTACAGTACAGGGTGACATGAAAAAACTGCAGCCAACATCAGATTGCTGTCATTTCTAAGCCACTCATCCGACAGCTTTTTACAAGCGTACAAAAGCATTTTGATGAGAATTCTCCAGAAAAAAAATTATTTGTGATGGAATTTAAGCGTGATTGTGAGACTTCTATATATGTGGCTGGAAAACCAAAAGTGGCTATCATTAGAGCACTCCAGCACTTAAATGTGAATAAATCTTTTGTTTTTCTTACCATCGGTAGTTACCGTGATAGTGGTAGCGTAACCCGACGTCAAGGGAATTAACGGAAGAAAGCAGCAATATCAGCAGAAATGGTTCAAAAAGAAAATAAGCGACTTGATCGCAACCCGCGTCGCAATGGCCGAAAAATGGCTCATGAGCTGTACATATCGCAATATCCCATTCGGCAAATATTGAAAAATGAGCTCGGGATAAAGCCATTGAAATTCCAAAAAATGCAAAAACTTACACCGCAACGTAAAGAAAATAGACTCAAAAGAGCTAAAGAGTTGCATCGCTTGGCCGAAAGTGGTGAACTGCCAAATTTGGTTTTCTCCGATGAGAAAACATTCGTTGTCCAGCAGTTTGTAAACAAACAAAATGAACGTGTTTACTTGCCAAAGAGGTCAGCTGAAAATGTGCACCTTCGGTTGGCCACCAGAACTCAAGCGTCAGCTATGGTGATGGTGTGGGCCGCCATAATTGCTAATGGTCGTTCCACGCTCGTATTAATCTACTGTGGCATCAGAATAAATGCGAAAATATTCTGGAAGGTGTATTAAAGCCTTGGGCACGTAAACATTTTGACCTTGGACAGAATGAAGTTCCTCGCTTCATTTCCAGCGCACAATGACCAACAAAATCTACCGATATCAATGCGTTGGACTATTGTGTCTGGAGTATTTTGGAAAACAAGGTTGGCACTAAAAATGCCACTTCACCCAATACTAAATACAGTACCATTCCGAAACCACCTTCATATGTCCAGGCTCCACATGGGTGGCCTAAATTTCAGATTTCAAGCATTATCTGTTCAGCCAATAACAAATTGTACCAAATATAGTAGAGCATTTGCAAAGCGCAAACCTACCACCAACAGGAACCCCCAATACAAAGTACTACTACGACGTACTCTGATATACGATATATTATACAAATAACATTTTCGGCTAAAATTCCTGTCTATAGACAAAATGATCAATTTTAAACAGGACTGACTTTAATGTCTTGTTGCCATAGTCTCCCAATTTGATACTGATCAAAAAAGAGACATATGGGATCTGAGATTATTTATAAAACAAGTAAAAAAGCAGTTAAGTTCGGCCAAAATTTTAACACCCTCAACCCTTTGGAAAGAAATTTAAAAAATCCATCGAAAATACCGCTTAAATAAAAACCGTTATATGCGGGCTGTAGTATCGATTTCGAACTTAAAATACGAAATTTGAAATAATTCCGGTGAAAAATGTCGCTAATATCATCAGAGTATCGAATAAAGGGAGGTACTGTTACAAGCGGTACTATGCGAAGACATGGACCTGCATACGCAATTTTTTGTCATAGGCTGTAGTACCTATTACGAACTTTAAATACGAAACAATTCCGGTGAACAATGTCGCTAATATAATCAAAATACAGAATAAAAGAAGGTACTGTTACAAGGGGACTGTACGAAGATGTGGACCTGCTTACGCGATTTTTTGTCACGGACGGCAGTACCCATTAGGAAGTTTAAACACGATTTTTGGAAAAATGCGCTAAAATCATTAAAATACCGAATATTATGATGTACCGTTATATGGGATCTACACGAAAACGTGGACCGACATGGCCCATTTACGAACTTATCCTGCCTACTGGCAAAATACACATGTGTACAAAGTGTTAGTCTTCTATCTCAATCCGATCGAAAGAGCGTCGACTTAGAATTTTACGCTGATCCAGAATATATATGATTTGCAAAGTCTATCATGAGTATTTCGAAAAGTTATAGAATGGTGGATGGCATAAAATATATCATATTCGTTTGTTGTGGAGATATAACAGCCATCAACGCAAAAACATACATACAAAGATTTCCAAAATATTTCCTCGGAATAACTTGAGTTTCAAAATCCCCAAAAAATACGAAATCGACTCACCTCCTCCGGCCAATTGTTGATTACTGGCCTTTGTACTCTCCAGCTCATCGGGTGGTTCTACAAAATTTTCTGGCCTTGGACATGGCCATGTATTCGAACGAGCTCTAGTCTGTGGCTCGAAACCACTCTCATGTAACTCCGCCACCAAGTCCATGTGCAGACCGCTTGTATCGGTGCGTGGTGGCGTTGTCCATTCATGGGCAAAGCCGTCCATTATATTTGCGTAGGGATCGTTTAATAGTTGCAGTTTTGTGCTGTGTACTTGTTTGTAGATGAAGCGTTTATATGACGAGACCGGCGCCAACAGTTCACACCACAGAGTTACAAATCGAGATTAGAGGAGTTCTTCTTTAAGCCAAAACTAATACCAATACAATATCGCACACTGCTGCAAAGAAACAAAAAAAATAAAACAAAAAATATTATTATCAAATAGGTATTGAAGTAATATTTATTAATAAAATACATTACAATAGGGTGCCTATTACAGGTAAACCGTCAAAGTCAACACTGCAAAAATTATTCGACGTTATGTAAAACAAATGTTAAACATTTGAGCAAATATAATAGCTCTGAGCAAATGCCCAGTACTTTAATAATAAATAAAATAAATATTTAACTACAAATGCCTAGAGATAAGGGATAATGACAGAGACAGCAAAAATATAAACGCTTAAGTGCATTTACACAATCAGTTGTTACAACACGTGTACAGACGACGGCAGCAAGGTGAGAATTTGATTTGATTTTTTTTATTAACTTTTATTATAATTATTATTATTTTTTTTTTGTAAATTATAACACGTAGAATATCAACGGCTTAGAATATAGGGTCTGATTCCGAGATCTGTTTTCTGTTTCCGAGATCTTTTATATTCTTGCAGTTCTGGAACAGGGCATATAGAGATATGCCCTGTTCCAGAACTGCAAGAATATAAAAGTTTTTACTACGATAACCGATTTTTCCTCGAAATAAATTGAAAAACTAGTAGATTCGGTAAGGTCCCTAATCAGAATAATAGAAAACCAAAAAGTTGTTTTTAAGGCAATACAAGAGAGCGCAAGTTCCGTCTTCCACATTTTTTTTAACGATTTCCGATTCTAATTCCTCGGAATACGTTCTATTTAGGTATATAGCATCTTTGAATGTCATCGTAGCAGGTCAAAATACCATACAGAAATTCGCCATCAAATTCTACTATATGTCACAGAATACATCTAAAGTCTTAATCTTGCCTAAACGCCAGGAATCCACAAACATTAAAAACACATTTTGAATTCCTTCAAAGCATCACTTTAGAAAGATGACGTCAGATACAAAAATATTTTTCATAACATTTCGCTAAAAGTCGCCAAAGGGAATAAATCTCTATTTACATTACATAAAGAAAATGTTTGATGAATATTGGCAAAAAATCGAGCAAATGTTTGTTTATACCCTCTACCATAGTATGGAGGGTATATTTAGTTTGTCACTCCGTTTGTAACACCTCGAAAAATACATTTTAGACCCCACAAATGTATGTTCTTCATCAGCATAAAATTCTATGTCGATTTAGCATGGCCGTCCGTCTGTGGAAATCACACTAGCTTCCGAACGAAATGAAGTAGGTTGATAAAATTTTACTCAAATATATATAATGTCTGCAGAGCTTTTGGTATTGAAAATGGGCAATGAAGGTCCACGTTTTGCTATATCCCCCATACAATGGTACCTCCCTATTTTCGGTATTTTGGTGATTTAAGCGACAGTATTCACCGAAATTGTTTCAAATTTATTATTTGAAGTTCGTAATGGATACTACAGCCTAAGACAGAAAATTGTCTGTGCAGGTTCACGTCTTCGTATAGCCCCCATAGAACTGTACCTTCCGAAATTCGGTACTCTTATGATTTTATGTACAATGGTCACAGAAATTGTTTGAGATGTCGTATTTAAAGTTCGTAATGGATACTACAGCCTAAGACAGAAAATTGTCTGTGCAGGTCCTCGTCTTCGTATAGCTCCCATATAACGGTACCTCCCGATATTCGGTATTTTGATGATTTTTGCTACATTTTTCACCGATTTCATTCATGTTTCACATTTAAATATTGTAATGGCTTATGACAAAAGTTGCCTATGCAGGTCCACGTCGTCGTATAGACCCTAATATAATGGCTACACTCGGTATTTTTAAGATTTCAATAGAATTTTTAACGCATTTTATTTTTTTTTTTTTTTTGAAAATTACCAAATTCGTTCTGAGTGGTGGAGGGTATTTAAAGTTCGGCCCTGCCTGAACTTATAGCCTTTTTTTGGTCTATTACCATTTTTCTGTTAATTTTTGTGTTGCACAGTGTTATTTATTGTCAAATGAGCGTCCAATCATTTATCTTTAAAAAATATATTTTCTATGAATATCAAAATAACGTTTGTATGAAGGACTTTTTCCAAAAAAAGATTAAAAGACACTCTACCTAACAGGCAGGTATTTACGTTCATTTATGTCGAATCTTTTTCATATAGAACCAAGATGTACATTTTTTAACAGGAAGCAAGATAGATTTTTGTGCATTTGTTTACCTTTTATAAAAAATAAGACATTTGACCATTTTTAAAATATCTATTCCCAATTGTTATCTATTGGTCTGTTCCAGAACTGCAAATTTTAAAAGTTTTTTTTTACGATAACTACTAAATTCTTGCAAGTACTGGAACAAAGCATATGTAAAGAAAATATGTATCCATGTGTTATGGGTACAAATTCGCCATTTAATATTATTTAGAATGTCAATCAATATCACAATTACAAAGTCGATCGTTTTTCACATTTCAATGCTAGACGGATTTGTTTAGTATTAATTTTTGTTGTTTTTTTTTTCAAAGTTTTGTTAACACCGATCCGATGGTGTCGGACAAAGCGAGAAGGAACATTTAGCAGTTATCAGATAATTAATAAACAATTCGCATTTTCTTTGTACGACTGTGGTGCGATTTAATTGTGTGAGTGTGTGTGTGTTTGTCTACGCCTATGTAACGCAGTGTTATTTTGCCCGTTTCATTTATTCGGAAGAAAAAAACAACAAATAATTGTGATGAGTTCCGAACAATATGGCAAAATGTTAATGTTCAGCATTTGCTATTTTAGGTCATTGAGCTGTCAATAAATTGTATAAACAAATGCCGTCAATAGTATGGAAATATGTACGTACATATGTATGTATTGAGGTTTGTAGGATTATATTTACAAATAATCGATAGAGAGAACCAAATGGTACAAAACAAAAAATGTGGTTCAAAAATGAGATTATAGCCATTGCTCCTTCCATTTCCGTATGAAAATATATCGTGATATGAGATTTTAGTTCGAGGAGATTTTGGGACTGGAACAATAGGTGAACCTGTACTCCCGCAGGTAAGTAGATTTGATAAACCTTTAACCCTGCATCAAATTATTTTATGTTGTATTGCCCATACAAAATCCACGCTATATTCAAATTCGAATACCTACAACATTTCCATGTGTAAATAAAAATTCTGAAAACAAAATAAACGGCTAGGTGTGCGTTATAAAAATAAATCAATTGAAAGATGTTCGCCACCTGAGAATTTCACATTCTCTGGTGTTACTTCTTCTCAATTTTTTGCTCCTCTCTTTCTTTGTAAATGCGGAAATAATTAAGTAAAGAATTGCCCAGTAAACAATTTTTGCCGAATTCGGTCCGATTTCTGTCAGAATCTCTGAAAAAATGTCCGATTCTGATTCCGAATTCCTTCCGATTTCTGTACGAAAGTTGTATGGACGTGGTCACCGAATTCGGAAAGATTTTCTGAAAAAAATCTGAAAAAATATTAGATTTTCTGGACGAATTCGGTCCGAATTCGGTGAAAATTCTTGAAAAAATAGGAGAAAAAATTAGATTTTCGGAAAAGATTCGGAGGACAACTCCGAATTTCTGAAAGAAATCGGGCAGAATTCGTCTGGAAATTCGGCGGAATATTCAGATTTTCTAAAAGAAATCGGTCAAAATTCGAAAGAAAATTCGGAATAAAATTCAGATTTTCTGAATTTGGTTGTCATTGCCTATCAAATACATAGCGCATGATTGAGTAGACAAAGTCAGTGTGTCGAAAAAAGCATAATTCATACAATTCGTCTTGTGCAGGTCTTTAGTTTCAACTGCTAAACAAGAACTAAAAATAAAAAGCAGTGCACACAGAAAACCGGTATGTAGTTGTTTTTGCAATTTTTTTCCATCATATTTTTTTGGGAACGAAAGAGAAAGAGGCTGATTCACAACAACAACAAAAGGCACATTTTTACAACGGAAAATCTAACAGTTCACAATAACAATAACAAATAGCATTTTTGCATTTGTTGTTGTTGAGATCTTGAAATGAATGATCACAACAACAACTACTATGGGAGAGAATGTGTCAAACCACCACCATCCGTTTACATGTGGGAGAGAATATGCCAGAGCAATAGACAATCTACTCTCTCCGTTTGTACATTTTTCGAGTTTTTTTTCGCTTAAAAACACAGGAAAATGTGCAGAAATTCTAAAAAAAAAACGTTTAGAAAATCGGACCAATTTCTATCAGAAATTTCTGAAAAAAACGTCAGAAATTTCGGAAAAAAATCTAAAATCAGAGCAGTCGGAAAAAATTGTTTACTGGGTGCCTGTCAAACACTTACACACATACACCATTAAAATGAAACGTATGTATGTGTGTATTTCTTTCAAGCTTATTATAACCCGCTTGTTCGGGTAAGCACTACATAAGTACTTATACCATTGTTCCAAAAGAAAGTACCAGTACCTACTCGCCAATACACTAGCCACGCGTTTGAGTGACGAATTTAACATGGGGATGTCATTGGAGGTATGTAATCGTCACCCTCTCGTTTACCTTCCATTAACGAAAACAGTAATGACAAGTTCAGTGACTATTCGTTTATCATTAATAATGAACTACTTCGTTAACAATGAATAATAAATTACTTCGTTAACGATGAATAATGATCTACTTCGTTAATGATTAATAATAAACGAATTCTGCATACGCAGTACTATGCAGAAGATCCCTATGAAATCAAAATCCACATATTTAATTCAAAAATACTTCAAATAATGAAAATAAACGTCTGAAATGTATTTGTCTGGCTTATTTTTGATCAGCATGTCTTTGCACCGACATATTTTTAAAAATTCTCCTTTTCTGCAATTGAATTGCCTTCCGAATTTGGTCATCCGCTGGACCAATATTATTTGTTTTGGCCATTGAGACCGCTTCTGAAAATGAAAAAAATATAAATGTATTATTTATATCGGGTTTTAAGACTATAATTATGCTTACCTAACAGAACACCATAAAAGTTTTTAAGTTGTTTAAAACTTTTC